ACATCGATACAGAGCGTATGGTAGAACAGCTTACCCCATTTGCGCTTGCATATATCTCAAGTGTCAATGAGTGTTTGAATGGGAATTTTGATTATAACTCAACTTATTGTTCTAATGCTTTCCGAATACTTTCAAAATTTGAAGTGACTGATGTTAATATTGACCTACCAATGTCTACTAAAGTGGATTTCTATTTCTTATTAACACAATTGATACTTTCACTTATTTTAAATTTGGATTTTCTTATAATAGCTTTTTTGGAATTCACATACTATGGAATACTAGTTTATAGGGATCAAGAAATTGAAACAAAGACTTATATCGGGGAAGCTTTTCGAGTCTTTATATGGAAATGGGAAACTCATGTATCATTCCCAATAAGATTTTACAGTGAATTGTTTTCTGAGTGGTATGATTCTATCAAATCAGCGTTTGGTTCAGTTTTCAAAAATGATTATACCTTGATAATAGACAATCCAATTCCGTTTCCTAGTGATAATACAGAGAATAATAATGAGATTAATCATTCATCTGAAACGAAATTTCCTCCTGAAATTTGGGCATTGATTCTTTATTTCACACCAAGAAACGATTTACTCAATGTGATGCTTGTGAATCATCTATTTCTTGAGCTTGGTGCTTCAAGATTTTATGAAAAGATTCATTGTATTGCAGCTATATATAATAAATCTATAATCAGAAATGCAGATAGGGCTTTTTTAAGAACTGGCAATGATCATTCTTCTCCAAATCCAATGTTTACCAGAGAATCTGATATCAATGTGCAAGATGAATATGATATTTATAAAAGACAAAAATTTTGGTTCCAAAGAGACAAACCATATGATTTTGTGGATTTCCATACTACAAATGAACAACTTTATTATGCTGAAAAGTTTAAAGAAGATCCTAACGTTCAGCTCATAACCAAATATAAGCAAATAAGAATGATTTTAAATATGATGAATAACGAAAAGTCTATTATGAGAAAATATATAAAAGAGATCAAATATGATGTTGTATTTCTTCAAGAATGTTGCGAGATTTTTGAAACATTTCGTTCAGATTTAATAAAGTTTGGACCTCAAAATCTGAAGAAAGGAACTGAACAAAAACTTAATATGCAAACATTTGATAATGAATTTTCAGATTTATTAAGGCATAGATATAATTATAAAGTGGGATGGGAACGCGTTAAGATAAGGTCACATCCATTACGTGGGCAAAGAATAGTACCACTTAACACTTATTTTTTTCCCTTTATCGATTTAAGATTTCCAAAAAATGGTTGTCAAGTTGATTTTTTGGCAAGACTTGTGGATTCATATCAGTATAAATCTAGAGATTCACTTGTATCTTGTTTACAAAATTAACAAGAAAATTATGGTCTTGATTTTTTCAGAACTGATTTAGAACAAGAATTTCATGAGTCTTTAGCACAAGGAAATATTGAACAAGCTTCAGTATTAATGGATGATTGTGAAAAAGCCGTTTGGGATCTTAATAACAAGGTTATTCTAGACCATAGAGAACCAGCTTCAGAAGATGATATAGGGCAATTTATTGATCAAATAAAGAGTACTTTAGTCTTTGAACTAAATGACAAAATTCATAAATCATTCGCCTTAGCTTCAGAATCCAATATTAAACATGACTTTTATCGTGGCTTTTACAATGGATTTCATCGGGATTTTTTCACTAATGCTATACCATATACTCCAAAGATGGTGGTTTTTGATGTTAGTAAAGATGATTCTAACTGTTAAAAACGTATTATAATGTATGATGTTTCAATGAAAGTTCACTTCTGTAGTATTTAGAATTTAAAATATTGATGAAATGAGGTGAAATATTCAAAAATTTCGGGTGGCTTACGTAATCAGAATGTGTATAGCCCGGTTTTTCAATGCCCAACCAAAATTAAATGTTATT